CAATACAAGAAAAAAGATTGATGATACGAATATAAATAAGAATCTAGTTTTGCGGTAATAACTTCTCTGAAGTCTTTTAAACAAAAACATACACTGACCTATCTTTTAAGAACATCCGGGTTAAATTGTGATGATCGTTATTTGTTGGTAAACTATTGATATATCCTTCATAAGACATAACAAATGTTCTCAGTGCTTGACGATGTTCCCATTTTAATGCACTTATACAACTATCCCAATGACTTACAATGACTTCTCTATTGAGATAATAGTCCTCTTGGAGTTGTGTGATGGTCTCTGGGACTTCGCTACCACGTTTTTGTATACTACGTTCAGTTTCATCAATGTGTCTAGAAAATTGGTTTAAAATAGAACAAAAATATTCATTGTCAGATCGTAAATATACGTCAGTGGTCACAAGGCTACTAATACTTGAGACAAACGAAATACTAAAGTCTCCGTCATTGAAAACATGTTATATACGGGTTTTTATTCAATTGATTATTTATAATACTTATTGAGTTGACTTTTTCTCTGAATATAAAGAAAACGGCTACTAGTTTTAAATGAAAAAGTTATTTAAGGTAAGAGTTACACATATGTCACAATAAGAGCAATTTACATGAAAACTGACTTGTTTATTGCCTTTTTTAAACTGAAACCTGAATGCTTATGACTTAAGTAATGGGCCTCGCGTATTTATAGGATAATTGATAGTATAATACCTGATTGAATAGAGGTTAGTAAATGAAGTGAAAGATCAAATTAGCTGAAAAGTAAACGAACCAAGTCAATAAAGTCACACTTCTATGCTGTAACTGCGAGTATCTCATAATGTTTTAGCACATATAGTCATATTCTTCAAGCTGACGATAAACGAAAACCTATCTTTTCTTAAATATGAATTAGAAATCTGATAAATGATAATTTTAGAGCAATAAGAGTGATTTATGTAAAGATTCAGCTGATAGATTTAAAGGAAAATAAATGAAATGAAAGCTTTTTATTACAAACCGATATCTGTTGAGCAATCTTTTGGATTCTAAAAAAGTATATGAAGTGATTTCTTTTTTCTAATTCGGGACTTTCTAATCACTGAGCATTTGAATCCAAAACGTTTAGGTAATAATAGTGTTTATAACAAGTAGATTACTGGTTAACTTTCAAAAATTCAGTGAATTTGCAATAAACAGTGGTCGTTGTTATTGTTGTGTTTACTTAAGTTCTATAGTTTTAAATCTATGGGTAACCACAGAAAGTAAAACTGAGCGCTTTTAGAGTATTATAATAACTCATATAAATTCAGGTAGCATAGTTATTCGCGTACTCATTTAATAAAGTATTAGTCCATAAAATAGCTCACTATTTGCATTACATGATTTGAAATATCAACTCAATAAACCGAGTGACCATCTAATAATCATAGTTAACATAATGACTTCTTTCCAACTAGCTGAAACAAGAAAATTATAAAAATGGATGCTAGTGGCGGTCAGTTATATGACTCATATTAACTAGCAAGAATGAATTTCAACACAATGATAGTTGAATCTCAAGGTTTCAAAGCATGGTACTAATATGATATTAAGTACTGTTGATCAAGGTTATCTATGCTAGATACCCTAGTTACTAAACAGTCAGTTATCTCTCTTATTTGAATTTAGATGACTTAGTACACAACTAGATTCTGATAAACAATCAGTGCTAATTCGCAGAAAAGTTGAGCACAGTATTTTATAACTACATTTCAATTTAAATACGACTTACAACAAGAGATATGGACTCAGAAATAGAAATCTGTATGCTTAAGTATATGGGAGACTAAGGATTGTGTTCCACATAAAAATAATAAGAAAAATTACACACATAGAATAATAAAGATTACTTTTGATCCATTTCCTTTAGGGTATCATCTCGTTTTTGAAGCTTATAACCGACTTCAAGAGCAAACAATTGTTCTAAGTGAATAAAATCTTGTGCTGCAGACGAATGAATCATCTGACTGAAAGCATGTGAAAAAACTTCCTGATCGTTCAGTTTGGCTGATTTTGATGAAGTGGAATTCTGATTAAATAGAATTATTAATTAACTACTGCTTACGTTATGATGCGAAGAGTCAAAAACAGAACAAAATTTTTCTATATTTGATACATCAGACATTAGATCGTTTACTAACTTTAAATAATGATCTTTAAAGTCATTTGTATTTTCTTCAGATATGAAATCTGATAATCTTTCATAGAAAACTAGATTTATATCAATGGAATTTTAAGGGATATACCTTCATAAGCGACATCTGGAATATCATATGCACTTGCTAGTTGAGAAGCACATTCTGAAACAGTGAGTCTCATAGGAAATTCAAGCCACTCTTTGACATGAACATGAACGTCATTTTCAAATGATTCAGAAAATTCAAACAAAACTTTTCTCATTCGGTGTTAAAATAAAATTCATGAAAGAATATCTGAAAAATTGAAGGGTGACTTCAAGGAAATCTATGCCACTGTAATGAAGAAAAGTACTTTTAATTAGTTCGAATATATTACTAAAACGTCTTATTAATTCTGTGGATGCTTACGTATGAATTTATGAACCAAACACGTTATATAAGAACGATGGCACAAAAGTATCACTAAGCTAAATTAAGATATTGTCTCTTGGTCTACAATCATACAATTCCATTATTTCAATTTATTCATTATAATGACGACTCAAATATAAACAATCTTCGGTCAACGAAAAATTAAATTGACGGGGGAAATCGTCAGGGTAACTTGATAATAAAGCAAGATATAGAAAAAGTGAGAGTATGAAGAGATAAAATCAGTAGTTGATACACATAAAATAGTTTGCATACATATCCCCCAGAATACTGAGATAACAAACATAGAAACGGAACAAACGGATCCTGAACAAAATTGAGGAAATCTACTCATGAACAGATGGTCATAACAACTCGACATCCTATGATTTACTTCGTTTATTTGCTCGCACAGTCTACCAGAGTAAAGCATCAGTTAATTTTGTTAAGATTTTGAGCAAGTTACACAATTTAAAGAGGGAAATAGGCTTTTAACTTACTGTAGTTGTCTACATATCTGGTATCGAGAGTAAATAATATAACTCAAAAGGCACGCTGTATATTATTGAGCTGAATCCCACTGCAAACGCTTAGGATATTATACAGTTACTTATAACGATGTAGATTAAGTGGACTTCAAATTTCTGACTGAATGCTTGAAAGACAAAAAGTTTATACAATGAGCTATGGCTGAGATGTTAAAAACTAATTTACAGATGGTAATAAGTGCACTGACTACCATGAGACTGCATCTCCTAACACTGCTCCACTGCCTTGTGGACTAGACCTTTAGATAAAAGGCTCGCGTGTGGCTTCCTAGGACAATCACCCTGACAGTACCACAGCTCTTACATAAGTCTATGATAACTACGAATTGTTATTTTGTGGCGTGTGTATTTGGTGCAATAAGTCAGTCAATAACAACGTAGAACTTCGTACGTACGTACATCAGTTAGAGTTGCCATACCAAATTAGCACAGAGATGAGGTTGTCGACTGAAATCCCGTAGTAGTAGAGGTATTTTTAGCCCCCTCCCAGTACTAATGTGTGTTCGAGTAGATAAACAAATAAAAAATATTCCTATCAAATCTAGATCTAAACTTAGGAAGTTGAGGGTAATTAATAATTGCAATCTAATCATTAGTTTAAAAGAATCTAATATCAAAATAGGATGGAGTGTGGATTCACTGACCAGCAAACATTGACAGATAGAGCATTGATTTCAACCTAATCATCTTTAAGGAGGCTGAACATGCATACCACCCAATAGCAATACATGTAACATAAAACTACATTTCATCCCTTCATTAATACCGCGATATTTCAGGATTTATAGTCTCATCGTGCCTACCAGATGCCTGTCAACCTGATTGTATGAGAACACTACCAAGAAGCGCAAAGACAGTACATTCAAGATGGCTTTTTTAAATGACTAATTATGCACTTACCACATTGCTTCTTGTTGTAAATACCCCTGGACATAACTTACCTTTATTCTCAACCACCAACTACTCGTTGCAACGCAACCGCCTTAAGGCGCGCCAATGTCTACATTGTTATTCGAGTCACACCAACATTATTCACATTCTTTTGTATGAAAATTTGCCTTCCGTCTTTATGGCCATTGTGAATTATAAAGAATTGACCTAATTGAGTAAATTATTATATTAAGTCATGAAATTTTTTTGACTATTTGAAGGCGTGAAGTTCATGTCAGCAGCATCATCGAGACCTCCTTCAAAAATAGGAGAGAATGGATCCTAAATAATTTCACACAGTGATATGAACTGTCAGCAGCAAAGAAGAAAAAGGTTAGTATTGTTGAGGTTTAAAGTATGTCGTGGTGAAATGCCTGGTCATAATGAAAGGGGAGCTAGATTTGTAGGTTAGAATAGAAATCAAGAAGTATAACGCATGGGTTAAATGAGGCAAATAAAAGTGGTCGCAAGATAACTTCTCCTTGACTCTGGTTAAGAAGCATGTACCGTCTATTATGGTATTTTCCCGTGCAAATATCGGAGAAAATACGTCAATGTATGGTTTTTATACTGACTTTGAACATGGCACAGGTACTCAGTTTTGACAACGCTCTTACCAGCAACACCTTCTAATGTAATTTGTACCCATCGAGAGAAATCAAAAGACAGAGTCAAGTAGATCGGAAAAGTGTATTTGGCGATAACCAATGTATCGAAATTCTCTGATCTAATTTGGTAAGCGATTGCGGTAGATGTTGAGCACAGCGTTACCACACGTGATCTGGTGCTGATACATGACCGAGCGCCTTCGGCTAGATGAGTCCACTAAGACATATGATTAGCATCCAATGTTGAAAACGTACAGAGCTATTTAGTTTTGGGGATTTATTTACCGCTACAGATCCCTCCCTCCCCCTACTAGAGTAGTGATGACCCTAAGATGCGGCCAGCAAGAAGTTCAAGCCCAACGAGTTTGTCGTTGGTAAACACTCTTCTGATAGCTTACTAAATTTAGCAGCGTCTGGTCGTCTTTCATTACTATATGGGACCGTGGTACAACATAATAAAAAAAGGAAAAAGTACAATGAAATTTTCGGCTCCTCGTAAACTTCATCGTTCTTTTCCAGCCGTCCTGGAAAAGAAAAAAGAAAATGTAAGTGCATGTCGAAAATACACTCGTATGTACGTAAAAACACAGTGTCGGCGAAAAAAATGGAAAATAAACTCAAGCACACGTAACAGCGTTAAAAAAAGTTTTTTAATAAAAATATAAATATATGAGCATATTAAAATTGTTTTTAAAAAAAATTATTATATATATCTTAAAAAGAAAGATCGAGATAATATAAAATGTCGAGTAGTGCTTTACGTGAACTATTAGTTTAAATGTTCTGGAAACATTACTCTCCTTCCAGAACGTGTCGTTTTAAGTTTATTTTCAGACACATTCGGAGTGTCATCGCCAGTGTTGGTTGTTGGTTGAGGAATTATGAGTGTAGGAGTCGTGTTGTGCGGTTGTACTGAAGGAAAGTCGACGTGAATAGGATTTCCTTCTAAATACGCTGCTATCGTTTGTTCCGTTCTTATCGACTATATAGTACTTAGATTCATGCTGAAGAACTTTGAAAGGTCCTTCCTATGCTGATCCGAATGGTCGTCGATGTGCGTCTCGACGAACGAAAACGTGTGTGCTATATCGTAAGTCAGGTTGAACGAAAACATCGGTGGATTGTGGTCGAGTGGGAGCAGGTTTAACTGAACGCATTGCGTTTGTAAGCCTGTTCGTGTAGGATGTTAGATCCATGTTCATTGAAGAGGAAGAAGGATCCACTAATTCTCCTGGAAGTCGAAGTGTCGTTCCATAAACGATTTGAGCCGCAGTGTATCCAATGTCAGCTTTCACTGCTTTGCGAACACCCAGTAAGACCAGTGGAAGAGTGTCAGTTCACTGTGAAACGTTTGCAGCCGTTAGCGAAGATTTTAGTTGTCGGTGAAAGCGTTCTACCAACCCGTTTGCTTGTAGGTGGTAGGCGGTCGTTCAGAAGCGAGTGATTTCTAAAAGTCTGATCAGACAACGGAAAAGTTCAGACACAAACTGACGTCCGTGGTCTGTAGTGATGGTTGAAAAGCAGCCGAAGTTTGCTACCCACCGTTCGACGAAGCTGCAGGCCACTGTTTCAGCAGTGATGTCCTTGATAGGTACTGCTTCTAGCCATCGTGTGAAACGGTCTACGCAGGTTAAGAGGTAAGAGTATCCATTTGAATCTGGCAAAGGTCCTACCAAATCCAGATGAACATGGTCGAAACGAGCATCGGGAGTTTTAAATGAGCCTAAGGGACATTTATTGTGTCTGATGACCTTGGATTTTTGGCAGCTTACACAGGAGCGTGCCCACTCCCTCACGTCTTTATTCATACCAGGCCAGAAAAACCGTTCTGCTATGAGCTTGATGGTTGCACGCACACCTGGATGAGAAAGTTTGTGCAATGTGTTGAAGACATTGCGTCGATAATGTTTCGGCACGATTGGGCGATCCCTTCCTGTAGATGTGCCACAAAGTAAGGTTTCCTTACCTGTTCCCATCTGATTGATGCGTAGTTTAAGGGTTGTGGACGATAACTCTTGCTGAAGATCAGTGTCTTCTTTTTGAAGCTGGGTGAGTTTAAGAAGGTCGATTCCTTGGAAACTGTTCAAGGAAATTATTCGAGACAAGGCGTCTGCAACTACATTGTTTGCTCCAGAAATATGTTGAATATCTGAAGTAAACTGCGAAATGTAGTCTAGTTGTCGAGACTCACGGGGAGAGTACTTGTCTGAAGAGGAGCTTAATGAGAAAGTGAGCGGTTTATGGTCAGTGAATAGAGTGAATTCACGGCCTTCGATATAATGTTGAAAATGCCGTACAGCACAATACATAGCTAGGAGTTCCCTACCGAATGTGCTGTACCTCGATTCGGTGTCTAGCAACCTTCTAGAGAAAAATGCCAATGGTTGTCAGGAGTTGTTAACCCATTGTTGTAAGACTCCTCCGATTGCTGAGTCGGATGCGTCTACTGCCATTTTAATGGGTGCTTCGGTGATCATGATTTCCTTAATTGTGGAGAATGCTTTTCGTGCGGTATCGTCCAAATTAATGGATTTCGCATTTCCACGAAGTTGGTCGGTTAGAGGTTTCATAAGTAAAGCGCATTTCATTATGAATCGTCTATAGAAACTTACAAGGCTGTTAAACGTTCGTGAGCGATTACGGTCGTTACGAAGATTAAGATAACGCGTAAGTGTATGACATAACTTGGTTATGTCATTCTGAGTCGTTTGAGGCTTTTCTTTGACTGAAAATACCTCTGTAGTAGACGATTTCGTTATTTCTAA